CCCAGGTTGAAGCAAGTAAAGTTGTGCATCTGTAATTTAGTTTTGTAATACATCTTGCTAGCTTTTGTCTTGGGACACAGAAGAACGCTCTGAAGGTCCATTGTCCACACTGAGACCTTGTCACTGGATTCCTGTTTATCCTTAGCTTTTTCAGCTTGAGCTTGAGCCTTTAATTTCATGTGAGTAGTAAGGGTATCCTGATCTATATTTCCCACCTTGGCGCCGGTACATACATCACACTGGTCTTTTTTTGGTACGAACACAGAGTATTTCTGCTCACTGAACACTTTTCGGAAATATGTCTCACTCACAACACGTGCTCCACTTTTACCAGCAGCTTTCTGGTATTCCTTGTGAAGGTCACTTAGAACTGTTCCCGGCTCCACAAACTTCTTATCCTGATAAGAGGGAACCTGACGGCAGTAATGGGATGGAACAGTAGGCAGCCCAGATAGCCATTCTTTCAGGAAGGTCTGGTCAGCATCTGATATGGGCATATGTGGACCAGTCTTATTGATCTTGGGTTTGGGCGGATCAGTTTTTGTTTTCATGTCCACAGTTAACCATGATCCAATGGTTCTGGGGGCAATGCCAAGGGTTGAACAGAAAATAATCTTACACACAGGTAGTTTACATCTATCTGCCAGTTGCAGGTGGTATGATAGGGACGTTTTTCTCCTTGATGCAACACCACCTTTCTTCTGCTTTATAGGCACATTTTCCACTAAAGTCTGGATATACAGCTTGCGTGTCTCCCAGGAGGGCATGGACCAGAAATTGTTGAAGATATCCGTTCTCTCTTCTTCACTCAGCAGTTCACAACTTCGTTTCTCCGACCTTAAGCAGTGCTGTGATGTGCAGGGTGGGCCCATGGTCTTTGGCTGCCTCTCCTGTCCCGTTGCGTTCTTGTAATTCTCCCCCTTAAGGCGCTTCTCTTTTATCACCTGTCGCTTCCACATATGTGACCTTGGACGCTTATGACGTTTAACAGCGGGAGCTTCAAGTGCAGCCTCTTCTTCACTATGTTGAGCCGTGTCTGCATCACTATCATCATCTGGGAGGTCATCTTTCTTAGGCCTATAGTCCTCATCCAAGACAGAGTCATCGTGTTCACTTTCTGACCATGAATCAGGATCAGAATCAGCTCTGGAGGCTTCATCGGCTGTTTCTTCTTCAATCCGTTGCCCGGTGTCTATGTCATTTCCTTCTTTCTCACATCTACTGTCATCTAAATCCTTCTCTGAGTCCTTCTCTAAATTGGTATCAAGTTCATTTCCTGACCCTGAAGCAGAAGAAAATAAAGTTGCTGAGTGTTGCTACTTCATCATACCTTGTCGCAGAAATGTGATTAAACATTTAAACACACAGTTCCTAATCCCTTTGATTGACTGAAAGTACATTTAGTGTCTAGAAAGTTGAAGAAATATGAACTAGCTCACCAGATGAATCAAAAAGAAGAGCTAATGCTTCACTTGTGGTCAACAGAGCCCTCTGTCTCATGCGGTCCGCCATCTTTGTATGTAGCGTCAAAAATGCCTAAGTCAAAGAGATGACTTAGGCAGATAGTGATTTTGGACTCTAAAATGCGTTCTGATGGCTGAGGACATAGGCAATAAGGCAGGGTGATGCAGCAGTGGTAGGAGAGAAAAGTTAGGCAGATATCACAATTTGGCCAAAAAATGACTTGGGCAATTATGCTATTAGGCTAACGATTTGACTTATGTCACATTTTTGTGCTCCAGTGGCGCAATCGGTCAGCGCGCGGTACTTATAAGACAGTAACCTGCAGAGCGATGCTGAGGTTGTGAGTTCAAGCCTCACCTGGAGCAGAGAAGTTTTAACCTGCAGATATAACTGTGTAATTCATAACATAAATATCAGAAGTTGAGATGGACAATTGTGATACCTGTCAGAAATTCAAATAGTTATCAACCAACAACATGTTAGCATCTTTATAAATACATGTAGTTAACAACATAGAATAGAGCATATATTCTGTACTTTCTAAGAAAAACATGCCTCCTGCTTATCAATGCTTTCCTCTTGCTGTACCACATTGAAAAAGAAAGCATGACTTTGCATTTTTGTTACACAGCAAGAGGCACTGAGAGCCCCCTTATTATGCTGAGTCAGCCCTCATCCACTGGGTTACAGCTGACACCCAAAGTCTGACAATGTTTAAAAAATAAAACATATATTTTTAGAATTAAACACTGCATTTGTTGTGGATGTGTAGTCAATGTTATATGTTTTTAAATAGTCTTCTAAGTGTCCATAACTCTTAAAATCATCCATTTGCATCAGATATTATCATCAATCATTGTAAACGTTGGAAAATATGTTTATCTGTGCACCAGAAAATCTAACCTAAACTGTATAAGCACTATTACTGGTATGAAACCTCATATGATCAGAGATGGCAAAAGTACGCACATCCTTTACTCAAGTAGAAGTACAAATACTCGTGTTTAAAAATACTCTGGTAAAAGTAGAAGTACTGACTAAACTTCTTTACTCAAGTAAAAGTAAAGAAGTATGGGCTTCTAAATGTACTTGAGTAAAAAGTACCCATACTGTAACTAGCAGCTGTTTTAAAGAGTACCTGACCTCCCTTTATATTAATAGAACAATAATGTCATTGTTAGCTAATGAATGTTTCCATGCTGAACAACGGCAACATGACAACGTTGTCATTGGTCCCTCTTCTTTAGAGAAGACCAGGAAATGATGGATACACGGATCGTGTTCAAATCAATAGGCACGCAATGACTCTAAATAATAATGATCACGCCACCAAACACACATTCAAACTAAAGGAACCAGCCTGTTGGAAAATGTAAGAAGTAGAAAGTACAGGTATTTGTGTTCAACATGTAAGAAGTAGAAAGTACAGGTATTTGGGTTCAAAATGTAAGAAGTAAAAGTAAAAAGTCGTCAGAAAATAAGTAGTGGAGTAAAGTACTGGTACCAGAAAAATGTACTTAAGTACAGTAACGAAGTATTTGTACTCCACTTCTTCCCACCTCTGCATATGAGCGTTAAAGCGAGAATGCTGCATGTATGTAGGAGGGGAAGGGGGTCATGTAAGGTTACCATAGTAACTGCTGAGCTTTCTGGAAGTGATATGGTGACTTCGCTGGCACTGACTACTTTCTCTTCCACAAACACCCCATCTTATCTCCTGCCTTATTGCCCAGACGACCTCAGATGACTTTCTGCCTGTGAAAAACACCATTTGTGGTTTCTGCAGCTGCTTGAAATGCAAACAATCAATGCAACTGTCCAAAAAAAAGTTATATATATATTCATAACCAGAGCTGATCGAATGAAAGCAAGATGTGTTGATTCTTCTTTTCTGTTGATATAGTTGAGCATTTTATAACATATTTCTTACTTCACAATCAATAATGTCTTTTAAAATCATGTCTTCAAACTTACTTAATTTGATTAATTCCAGTACTATAAAAGCTTTTAGATTTAAAAAAAAAAAAAAAAGGCTACATTGCATTTTAAGGTATTATATTTAGTCTTTGCATAGTCCAAGTGCAAACATTTTCCAAGCTGGATCATTATTGGGGAAAATTGGGTAACAGTTCTGGATCCCCAAAAACCCAAGAGGCTCCTAAAGCCTTTACTAAAAGCTTCACTCTGTGGCGTTTAGTATGTGATAATCTGATTAAACTCTAACCGTGTTGGGAAATATTTGGCAGATTTATTGATATTTATAAACGGATAAATCCTGTCACCAACATATTGAACCTGTCTGCTTTACGGATCTTGGGCTTGAAGGTTTCTCTTCAAATGTGCAATAAAAGATAAATGCTGTGCTATAGCAGAAATAAAGGGAGGCGTGTGGTGCAGTGGGTTGTGCGTTGGTGTTCGGATCAGGGGGTCACAGGTTCAAACCCCACTGCAGTCAGCATGTCGTTGTGTCCCTGAGACACTTCACCCCAAATTGCTCCTGTGGGGATTGCCCACAGTATTGAGTATGTAAGTCGCTTTGGATAAAAGCGTCTAACAAGTGACATGTAATGTAAGCTGCAGTATCTGATGGAGGCGGGCCTCATGCCCCCTGGCTCTGGACCAGCAGCTTATGGAGCTGCAGATAACAGCTAAACGGCTCCTGACTCACATTTAATACTTTAATGTCTCGTCAATTGGTGCAATAAGACACTTTAAAGGGGTGACAATACAAGGAAAATATTTGTAATACACTGGTAAAGGAGAGGATTTGGGCTATTCACCATAACATGTCTTAATTCAGTGGAAAGGAAAAGCATCCAAAAATCCCATTTAGGTGCTTACTTTACTAACTTTTTCAATATGCATATGTAGATTTATCTTAAATTAACCAAATGTGAGAAATAGATAATGCCTCATTTGCAAAATGTAAAGATTTCAGAAGACTTGTAATACAAAAAGTACGTCAATGCAAACAATCAACAGGGAAGGTTTCATAGTGATATCTTTTAGTTCTAAATTACATTACATGTCACTTGTTAGACGCTTTTATCCAATGCGACTTACATACTCAATACTGTGGACAATCCCCACAGGAGCCATTTGGGCCCAGGAACAGACCGACATGCTGACTGCAGTGGGGTTTGAACCTGTGACCCCCCCTGATCCAAACACCAACGCATTAGTCTACTGTGCCACAGCCTCCATTGCCACATTTGACCCTATTTACTTGTTTAACTCTCCCTTACAGAATACAGAATACATAAAGAAATGTTGCCTATATACAGGAAGCCGCATTTGCTCTCCACAGAGAAACAATTATGACACTTCTTATTCAGTTTCAGTTTCATAATTAAAAGGAAGCCACTCTAAAGCAGATACAGCAGCTCAATCTGCTTTTAATCCCCATAAACAAAGTTAAATAATAAAGTGCATGCACTCCCGCAGCAGCCACTAATGTTATGGTAGAAAATCCCCAGAGTGACGCATGTGGAACAGCTGATAGCGCAGAGGAGTCCCCACCCTGCCTGTCTGCACTGATAACACGGAGCAGAGGATCAACACAAACCTTCACCATCACTCTTCAGCTTTAACCACAGAAGGATTTGTTTACTTTCACTGTCTATCCGGTTCTGCGTTTCTTCCCGTAACGTCGTTAAATTGGCGATAAAATGGTTGATTAACGCCTTTTACGCACTGCACGTTAAATCCGAAGTGCTCCGCTGCAAAGTCATTGTACTTTCAGCTACAGTGAATATTTGTAAAGTTCAATGCAATAGGCTGCGATGCTGTCAAATAAAGAGAAAATGCTCATTGCAGAAATATGGGAAAGACTGATTCCTGTGGCTGAGGAAATTGGAGCAGATGCGCTTCTCAGGTAGGTTAACACTTCGAAATATAATCTGCGTGTGAAATGAATGGAAATACATGTCATTTTATCAACTGAGTAGTAAAATAATTGTTAGCTAACATGGAAAACTGGACCCCTCCTCCACATAGGTCTGGTGTGTGTTCATGAATGTAAAGGCTTCCTAAAAATGTTTCTCCATTTTGTAAAACATAACAGTAGCCATTTCTATAATGCCAATGTCTATAATACATTATAAACATACTTGTGTACAAGGTGTTATAGTCTGCTCAAAGCCCTGCATGATTATAGGTACAAGCAGTCATTAATATTCAAATATACAAATAAGTTATTCATACATGTTCATAATGCTTCATAACAATAACACAGTATAAAGTGTATAATTATATTAACTCATATAATTAGTTGTGTCTTAAAAGCTGGCAAGAAATAATCCCAGTTCCATATTCAGTGATTTAAAAATGAGGTAAATTATATGAATTTCTTTGCCTAAAAGATTTTGTGTAATATGTAAACACAAAACGACTAGTCCTTTGTTTTATTGTTTGTTGAGTTGAGTTCTTACATAATATCAAAGGTTTTCCATTTATTTTAAACCAAGAGAAACCTGTAAAACCTTTAAATCAAAACTCATGGTATGTTCCATTCGGTCAGCGGAAATGGCGTCATATCCCCTTTGAGCAATGGTCAGGTTGTATTGTCTGTCAGAAGCTGTCATATTCATTTACTTACTTACTTTCTTCCAGTTTTAAGTAATTCTTCAACAAAACACTACTTTCCATCTTGCTTGTTTTTTAACCTTTTGTTTTATCCTGATAAAGGTTTTTAGTCAGGATGTCGGGATCTTAAGTAACCTAAAATCATGCTAAGAAAATGTTGGATTAGCGGGATTTCTAACAATTTGGTCAACAACGTGAAATTGCTCTATTTCTGGGTTTTCCATTATTTTTAATCACTAACTCCATTTTTTCCGGAGAGGATAAGACGAATTATTGAACAAAGAAGTAATCCTTATCAGGAGATGCAAACTGTAATGAGGTCAATGGACCCAACCAAAATCTCAATGTTGCTATTGTTTTGATTCAGAGACCCCTAGTGGTAGAAAAGGTGCCTACAATGTGAATTATTGTAATACCACTAACATTCCCAATCCCTCCTCAGGATGTTTGCCTGTTTCCCGGGAAGCAAGACCTACTTCTCCCACCTGGACATCAGCCGTGGCTCGCCCCACCTGCTCTCTCACGGGAAGAAGATCGTTCTGGCCTTCGCAGAGGGATCCAAAGACATCAGCCAGCTGACCGTCACCCTCACTCCTCTGCAGATCATGCACGCCTACCAGCTCCGGATAGACCCCACCAACTTCAAGGTACCTGTGTGTTAGAAAAATATCACTCCGGCTTGAGCTTCAATAATCAGGATCCATGTATTTATTATCCTCTCAAGAATGGAAGTAGTCATCACATACAGAGCATTTGGTACAACTAGTTCCTGAACAGTGTCCTTCACATGCTGATATACAAGAAAAAACAGTGTCCTTCACATGCTGATATACAAGAAAAAACATCCTCCCCTCGGTCATGAACCTTGGAGTGACCTTCACTAGCACTTTTAAATTCGACAAGCAGGTCAGCACCGTAGTCAAATCCTGCTTTTTTTAAATAAGACTATTGGCCAAAACCAAGTCGTATTTATCTTTTAATGACTTAGAAAGGGTTATTAACGCCTTTGTAACCTCGAGACTGGACTATTGCAACGCTCTGTGTGTGGGTATGGACCAGGCCTCAATTAAACGCCTGCAGCTAGTCCAAAACGCAGCTGCACGTTTGCTGACTGGCCACAAAAAGCGTGACCACATCACCCCAATTCTGGCCTCACTCCACTGGCTTCCAGTTCGGTTCAGAATTGATTTTAAAATCCTTTTATTTGTTTTTAAAGCACTAAATGGGCTGGCTCCGGCCTATATAGCTGAACTCCTCCAGCGCTACACCCCAGCCAGAGCTTTAAGGTCTGCTGACCAGCTGCTGCTGGTAGTGCCCAAGACCAGGCTTAAAACCCGAGGGCACCGAGCCTTCGCAGCAGCTGGCCCTAGGCTCTGTAACTCTCTGCCCCTCCATGTGAGGTCGGCCCAGACCCTAGGGGTTTTTAAATCTACACTAAAAACACACTTCTTCTCTCTGGCTTTCTAGTTAGAGCGGAGCACGACTCCTGACTTTTCCTTGTGTTTTTTTATTTTATTTTTTATATATATCTGTTGTAATTTATTGTCTTTTATTGTGATTGTAGTAATGTGTTTTTATTACATGTACAGCACTTTGGCTCGACCAAAAATCGCTTTTAAATGTGCTATATAAATAAAACCTGATTTGATTTGATTTGACAAGAGAGGGAGTTACACAGTCACAAGGGAATACCGGTTCAAAGCAGTATACAATGTTTAGTTCAGATTAGCTAAGGCCTGCATAAGCAATAAACATGACAGTCATATGTCTATCTCCATAGAGGCTGAATCATCATGTTAATCACATAGCTATCATATGCCTAAAACAGTCCTGATGCTCTTCTAGGTAATCATACATTCTGTTATGTACACAGCTACAGTAGGGCCTTTGTTATCATGTGCTACTCTGATATTGGAAGAGTACATTCAGTATTTTCCCAACATAGTGCTATTAATCAATTATACTGAGAATAATGAATGGTTCTTTATTTAATTAACAGTTGCTCATTAACAGTGATGGAGGAAGTATTCAGAGCCTCAGCATAAGTACATTTAGTACTGATTTTCAAAACAGTTAACTGTGGAAGTACACTCAGGAAAATGTACTTAATGTAAAATGCAATTATAGTCAGTACGAAAGGGTTAGGTTAGAGTTAGGGTTAGGTTAACCCTAACCTAACTGATATATTTTATTTATTATATCACTATAATATAACTACTCATGCAATAGTGTGAAAGCAAGATATAGCTTTGGATTTCTTTAGCTGGTGGAGATATTTTTTTACCATTTTGTACAGGACTGCAGCTAATGATTGTTTTTATAGATTAATACGCTGATCATTTTTGCCCTGCTAAATCAATAGTTTGGTTTATAAATATTCAAAAAACAGTTGTTAATACTGTCACATTTAGCTCAGAGCCCAACGTAACAACAACAAAAAGTCCAAACTAAAACATTTTCCGTACATATCAAACTACAATTCTTTGCCCCGTTACTCCTGTGCTTGAAAACGGGAAGTGCTTAAGTATTTTCAATATAGTTTATACAAGAAGGACTTAACTTCTCTTCTATTGATATCCAAACATGTTGCCTTGATTGTTTCTTTATTGATTTGGCCCAACTACATTGTTTTGTGACTAACAAGCCTCTCCCTTGTCTGCAGCTCTTGTCCCACTGTATGCTCGTCGCCCTGTCCTGTCACATGCGCGATGACTTCACAGCGGTTGCACACGCAGCGATGGACAAGTACCTGTCAGCTTTCGCAGCCGTGCTCGCCGAGAAATACAGATGAGACCCAGGCCCAGTCGTGTGTTTGTAGTATATATAAAAACCATGTATGATGTTGTATGATGTGATATATTTATATATGTGTATATTTTTATAATAATACAAATGTGCAATTAAAATTGTCCCTGTTCCCTATGTTTTCTTTTTAAATATCTGTTGTAATTTATTGTCTTTTATTGTGATTATAGAAATGTGTTTTTATGTGATTGTAGTTGTTACGTGTGCAGCACTTTGGCCCGACCAAAAATCGCTTTTAAATGTACTTTATAAACCTTGATTTGATTTGATTTGATATGTAAAACATATTAGTAGGAATATTTCTACTTTGTTACATTGTACTGGAAGAGTTTCCAGATTGAATATTAAATATATTATTTATTCCACTTTCATTTACAGGACTTACTATTTAATTGTATGTTAACATGAAGAGCTGAACAATTAATAAGAACTTTATCAAAATCACAATATGGACTAATGTACACTACCCAAAGCATCCATTGTACTTCCATTTGAAAAAATATTTACTGTTTCAATTATAATAAAGTGTTTAACCGAAAAACTCTAAGGCTCATTTTAATTGATAATACTTTCAATGAATGTTTAATACTGTAATGCCTGATCTTTCCATGGTGCTGAAATAAACGTGTTAAACATTCAGACCTTTCTTTGGTAGTGATATACAATGACTAACATTTAACACAGTAGAGCATATCCTGTGTTCTGGTTTCTGTGCTCGTAGGGGTAGTGGCTCTGGGTTGAACTGAGGTCTCCTGATCATCCTGAGGCACTACGGGTTGGAGCCTCTTATCTGCTTTCAAGTAAAGCCATAGCTTGTGATAAGAGTACCGCGGAATAACAAGACAGAAATGCAGCTCCTATAACACCAATAAGCTTTACAACGTTGTATTTTATTGTATTATTGGATGGGGGCCACTAAATTATAATTTCTGAATACACACATATTTAAAAAAATCTAGGTTAATCTTGCTGGCTTCTTCTATGTTTCCTACCCTGGTTTTCAAATTTCAGGTGTTAAAAAAATCCCATAAATTCTAAGTGACATTGTTAATGGTGATCTACAGGAATGTATGAAACCTCCTGCACTCACCATGCATTGTTTTAAGTTGTACTACTTTATTACTGACTCGATAGCTTTGAACAATGTTGGTTTTCTATTTTTGGTTAGAAATTAGGAGCTGCTTACACAATTAGACTTTTTTATTTTTCACATCTTTAACTTGGGTTAATTCAGTGATGTATTAGGCATACATTAATCTCCATCTTCTTACACAAATTCTGCACTTTATGTGTCCAAACATTTCTTCAGTGAAACTTTATTTATTTATTGAGGAGACATGTTGACAGACGTCAGATCTCCTTAATGGTTACCAGGAGCACAAGCTGCTGGTTTAGTGGTACTGCTTTCCCAGGGCGGACACCACGACGGCCAGGAACTTCTGGAAGGCGCCCTGTGTCTCTGGAGTGAAAGCGTGTCCCATTTTGGCGGCCACGACGATGGTGATGCAGTCAAGACAGCAACTACACCAAGAGCAAACACACCATTAAAGAAAGTCCTTTAAACATATTTACAACCTGAGTGTGTAAGGAGTGAGAAACCTTACCTTGAAGTTGTCGGGGTCGACGTGCAGCTTCTCGGAGTGCAGGATGCTCAGCTCGGCGTAGGTGCCCTTGATGTCGTCCATGTTCTTCACGCCGCGGTCCAGGCCGTGCAGCACCTTGATGCCGTGCGCTGCCACGTTGGCGTTGCCCATGATGGCCTCAGCATTGTAGAGGTTTCCAAAGCTGCCGAAGTGCCTCTGAGTCCAGGGGTAAACGATCAGACACCTGCAGGGGAGGAGGACACAGGATCAATAAGAAGAAGCAGTATATGTCCAGGATTTTGTTTAAACTTTACTTTACAGTATGAGAAGTACCTGCTGAGAGCCTTGGGCCCGATGTCATCATAGTCCACAGTGGGAGTAGATGCTGGTGATAATGGCGCGCTCCTGCTCGGTCCACTCAACCATGGTGGCTGTTTAATGTCTGTTTAGGCTTGAAAGAAAAATAGCTTTCTTAATGCTCCTCGATCAGTGTTTATTTAAAAGTGTCCGGGCTCCCCCTCTTCCCCCCTCTGAGGGAGAAGTCAGCTGTGATAGGCTGGAGATGAAGAGGAGCAGATAAAGCGCAGTCAGGCAGTATTTATAATTCATGTTTACTGCTGTGCTACAGTGGACGCTTTAATTTCATACTGTTTCAACCCAAATCAGTCATTTGTCATAATTTGTTTATTTATGTTTTGAATCAAATGCAATTAAATAATGTATTTGCTAAAACTAGAGCAGACAGAAGGTCCATGTGGTCGCTTTGCAAACAGTTCAACGGTTTTAATGCTGAGCTGTTTATTTATGTACTTAAATAGCTTGCAAATATGGAGCTGTCCATGGTTCTGAGATCAACTTATAAAACATGAGACCTTTCTTTGGTGCTGAAATAAACTAAACTAAAACAATTCAAAACTTTGTATTTGAATACTTTTTCCATTAAGAACTGAAAGCCATTGTCAGTTGTCTTTTATCCAGACATAATCCAAAAATAATTATGTTAACTCAGGATAGCAAACTGCAGAAACGGGTCAGATCTAGAACAAAATGATCTACTGTGTTTTAGGAGGCCGTTCGTCATGTGATGGCATGATTTGACTTTCAAATAAACACTAAACCTCCAAACAAAACATTCACAAATATTCATGCATAAATGTTACACCTTTGGACCCTGTTGTTGGGTTATGAATGAGTGAAATTGACAAGTTCATCCAAAAACAAATGTGACGCTCTTAGTTTCTTTGCAACTTAAGTTACAAAGGTGGTTGCAAACTTCTAAGCTATTTGAATTGAAGATTAAGCCAAGACCTTGTTTACTTTCATAAAAGACCTACAAATGAGGCCCCCTGCTGGATTTAACAAGCAGCTGCACATGTTTTCTCATGTCTAAAGATACAGAAAATTGTTCAAAATGGACTTTGAGAGTGAGTTGCACACTGTGAAGGTAAATCTGTGGTCATTCGCAGTACGGTACGGTAATCAATGAAACATTTAAAACGGAAGAAAACATTCTCCATGTGTTGTGTGTGCTTTTTGAGGCAGTGGCTCTGGGTTGAAATGAGGTAAGTAAAGTCTGGTGATAAGTTCAAGGGTCCCACGGAAACACCACACAGAAATCCCCCTCAGATAACACCGAAAGGGTTACAATAAGTATTCTTTCAGTCCCATAGGAGGTCCTCAGAGTCACTCAATTTTATGTTCTAATTGTTTTGATTTCTTTCAATTCAAATATGTTTACAGATACACACTACAGTAACAGCATAATAATAATAAAAACATTCTTACTTTTGTTGGCTTCTCCAATGTTAACTAGCCTGGTTTTAGGTGTGAAATAATCCCATAAAGTAGAAGTGAATTTGTTATGTGTCAATGCTACAGGACTTTGTGATACATCCTGCAGGAATGAGACAAATAATGTAAATCATGTCAGTCATGCATTGTTTTAAGTTTTCCCACGTTATCATTTACTCAATAACTTTCAACATATTCATTTATTTTGACCTTATGAGATGCTTACACGATTATAATTGTTTGAAATGTCCCAGCTTTAACTTAGAGCCATGTCTCTTCATCTTCTAAAGAACACATTTCCCCTCACGTTTCACAAATGAATGAACTGTCCAGTAACTCTAAACGTGGTCAAAGAATAGCCAATGTAATAAAAATATCATTGTACTATGAGAGTATGCCAGGCCAGAGTCACCTCAGTACCAAACCTCGGTCTATATAAAAAATTGCGACAACAAACTAAAGAACTTTTTTCTTCAGTGAGACTTTATTTTTTTATTAAGGAGACTTCTAGACAGAAGTCAGATCTCCTTAATTACCAGGAGCACAAGCTGCTGGTTTAGTGGTACTGCTTTCCCAGGGCGGACACCACGACGGCCAGGAACTTCTGGAAGGCGCCCTGTGTCTCTGCAGTGAAAGCGTGTCCCATTTTGGCGGCCAAGACGATGGTGATGCAGTCAGACAGCAACTACACCAAGAGCAAACACACCATTAAAGAAAGTCCTTTAAACATATGTACAACCTGAGTGTGTAAGGAGTGAGAAACCTTACCTTGAAGTTGTCGGGGTCGACGTGCAGCTTCTCGGAGTGCAGGGTGCTCAGGTCGGCGTAGGTGGCCGCGATGTTGTCCATGTTCTTCACGCCGCGGTCCAGGCCGTGCAGCACCTTGATGCCGTGCGCTGCCACGTTGGCGTTGCCGATGATGGCCTCAGCATTGTAGAGGTTTCCAAAGCCGCTGAAGTGTCTCTGAGTCCAGGGGTAAACGATCAGACACCTGCAGGGGAGGAGGACACAGGATCGGTAAGAAGCAGTATTAGGTTGTCCAGGATTTTTGTATACTTTACATTTAGAGAAGTTTCCCGTACCTGCTGAGAGCCTTGGGTCCGATGTCATCATAGTCCATGTGGGAGAAGATGTCGCTGATAATGGAGCGCTCCTTATCGGTCCACTCAACCATGGTTGCTGATGTTTATGTGCTTAGGCTGGAAAGAAAAATAGCTTTCTTAATGCTCCTTAAGCTCGATCAGCGTGTATTTAAATGTGTCCGGGCTCCCCCCCCTGAGGGAGAAGTCAGTTGTGATAGGCTGGAGATGGAGAGACACAGATAACCCGCAGCCTCCCTTGCAGAAGCTTCTGGAATATTTTTTGAACTGATAAGGATTTCGTAATAGAATGACATCGTCTTTTGAGGCACAGATGCATCAATATGGATAACGTGTGTCAGCCTTAAGAAAAAAGTTAATTTGGCAATTTGTAGAAGCGGTTTGAGGCAAGTCAGAAAACTTCTGAGTGTGTGAAGGAAACATGTTGCAAGTTTGCTCAATTTATTTAGTCTGGAATTAATATTCTTCCACAGAGTCTTGCACATTAAACCATTTTTGTATTTGTAGTTTCCCAGTTTTCAAGATGTTCCCAATATGATAATATTCCCACAGTTTGGTTCTCCTCCTTTTACCTCATTTAACCTGCAGAGTTTCAGCTCTCATGGCATTTATTGAACCAAAATGTACTTATTTGGCTCTGGTGTTATTTTATATTTCACATTTTAACAGTTTTTGAGTGTTATTTAGGGACATAATAATGAAGTCGTTATAGGCGACTTATTAAAACACCCATATGTTTCGTTAAAATATGGTGATGATGGACAATGTACCTTATGTACAGACACACACACACACACACACACACACACACACACACACATACATGCATTTTTTTACTTCAGCGACTTAATCAGCTGCTTGGATATAACACAGGCATTTAAAAACAAGTGCAACATCTGATACATTATAACCTTGGTGTGATGTGAATGGATTTTGTTGGCACATATCTTTCAGCATGATATCAAATTGTGCATTATGTACTTCCTGAGAGAGTTCCCATCAATAAAGTTATTTTTCTATTATCATTCAAAGTTTTGAGACATTCTTGCTCTGGTTTTGGGAAATTTAAACTAAAAACTAAATGCAAAACTTCAGAAGGAAACCCCAGTGTGGATTAATAACATGTACTTTTATTAACATCATGGATTGATGAACTTTCACGGCCTTTAAGATCCTCTAACACCACAAACAAAGGCGTCATCATGTTTGCACAGTTTCAGGATTTTACGACAGCATGCTTATTTTTGAAGTGTATAGCACTATAGGTCAGAAACCACTCATTTGTGTTTATTACACTTAATTTCTAATGCCACTGAATTTGCAAAGCAGTCCAAAAGGGTTGATGTCAGAGTGTTTATCTTTGAAGGCACGCGCCTGTTATCTCCAGCAGCGCCCCTCCTCCACCCTCTGCCACCTGGTGCCACACTTCATATTAGTCTTGATTATAAAGGGCGTTGATGATAAAATTCCACGAGCTCCATTTCCGAGAAATAAAGTAATGGCCTCAGCAAAACAAATGATATAAATTATTTTTAAAAGGCTACATTTGAAATAAAACCAATTTTGAATCAATATATATATCATGTGACTTATTCATCTTAAAGCGTACAACAACTACAATGACTATCTATATATTTCTTTCATTTTTAGGAAGTGATTCAGTGCGGCTAGCTTTAGGAAAATGTAGTTTACGTTAGTGACAAATAAAGAACATGCATTGATTTATCTGATTTGTTGAAACTGGGATGTTTGAATGAAACGTGTTCTTGCTTATTATAGAAACTGTTTTTTAAAACAATCGTAGGAATGAGATCATCATGTGCAAAATGAACGGTATGGCTTCATCGTGTTCATTTTAGACATTCAACCAAATTCCCTTTCTTAGAGCAGTATGGATGGGTGACCTGTGACAATGGACTGTACAACAGCCTAGGTTCTTATCATTAGAGCCTTTTTCTGATGAACTTATTATGTTTATTATGAGATGCAGCTTACTGGAAGACAAGATGGCAGATACAGTTCAGCAGCCGCCCGCCTTCACCTGTCACACTACACTTCGTAAGCAGGTGGGATTTGAGTTGTCAGGAGATGACTCAGTTTATTATTAGTATGGCTTTGCAGTCCATTAACAAAACACTTAAGAGAATGGTACTTTTTACTGGAGGGTAACAAGCTTAGTTTCGGTTTGTTTGTCCCATTACGGGCCATGCAGCGTCCAGTGTGTTTTTTGTGGATGAATTCCCCTAAGGGAGGGAGGGGGGGCCAGTCCATGTAAGCATTTATTAAAAAAGCACATACTTTTAAAAGACTTAAAAGAAATCTGTTTTCTTACATCATATTATTTTATTTATTTTATCGTTTATTTGAACCGGGACAGTGCACATTGATGAACACTTTAAAACAAAATAATGCTTACAAGTGTAAATGAGCCGGATTTTAGCTTTGAGCTAATTTCCATCCGTAGTCCCGTGACATACAACATATAAGAACATGACATTTATATACATAGCTAAAATAAATACATGATATGCAAAAGAGCAAGAGCAGCATACAAGCATTAACCACATGGCAGTACAATGTAGCAGCTACGACATATAAAGTGCAAGAGAAGATAAAAGTGCTACATAAAGTGCAAGAGGAGATACTACTGTGTTAAAGTGCATCTAGCGGTGATTACACATCTGTTTGTTGCTCAACCATTCTTTGAGTTGTCCTTTAAAACTGTTCAAAGTGGGACAATCCCGTATCTCAGTTGGGAGGCTATTCCACAATGAGCTGCCTTTAATGGAAAGGACATTTTGTCCAAAAGTGGTACCTCTACAGGTGGACTTCACAGTCTCCTCTGGTTTCTGACCTAGTGCAGCGTCCAGTGTGTTTTCTGTGGATGAATTCCCCTAAGGGAGGGGGGGCCAGTCCATGTAAACATCTATTACAAAAAACACATACTTTTAAAAGACTTAAAATTGTCAAAACTCAAGAAATTGTGTTTTTCAAGGATGGTACAGTGGTGGTATGAATTAGGCTTTCTGTCAAACACCTTGATAGCTCTCTTGTACAGCTGTTCTATAGGTTTCAGGTTTGTGGCACAAGCAAACGACCAGTTTGTAAAACAGTATTCAATGTGGGATAGAATCATACAGTGGAGGTATGACTTTGCAGCATTTACAGTTAAGAAAGGTCTAATTTGTTTAAAATGTTGCAAGTTGAATTTAATGGTATTGGATACTTTCTTGATATGTTTCTTAAAAGTCAAGTTCGAGTCCATTATGACTCCAAGATACTTGAACTGGGAGACTAGTTCTAATTCTGCTCCGTTTAAAAACACATTGGATCCTTCGATTTTGACTGGTCGTTTACTGAACATCATGCATACTGTTTTTTTTTGCATTTAACTGTAAGCAAATGTTGTTCAGTCAGTGTTGAACCTTGTCCAAAGCATTTGAGAGACAGGATGAGATCATTTCAGTATTTTTCCCATGTACAAAGATGACCGCATTTTAAACAGACATGAAGATTTTTCAGTAAAGACAGTTTCTTCTTTGCACATGCTTAATTTACGCGTAATCAAACATGTGCGTAAAAGTACGCTCAAGGCATCCAAACCTTGGTGTGATGTGAATGGATTTTGTTGGCACATATCTTATCAAATTGTGCATTATGTACTTCCTGAGAGAGTTGAAGTTCCCATCAATAAAGTTATTTTTCTATTATCATTCAAAGTTTTGAGACATTCTTGCTCTGGTTTTGGGCAATTTAAACTCAAAACTAAATGCAAAACTTCAGAAGGAAACCCCAGTGTGGATTAATAACATGTACTTTTATTAACATCATGTATTGATGAACTTTCACGGCCTTTAAGATCCTCTAACACCACAAACAAAGGTTTTACGACAGCATGCTTATTTTTGAAGTGTATAGCACTATAGGTCAGAAAACACTAATTTGTGTTTATTACACTTAATTTCTAATGCCACTGAATTTGCAAAGCAGTCCAAAAGGGTTGATGTCAGAGTGTTTATCTTTGAAGGCACGCGCCTGTTATCTCCAGCAGCGCCCCTCCTCCACCCTCTGCCACCTGGCGCCAAACTTCATATTAGTCTTGATTATAAAGGGCGTTGATGATAAAATTCCACGAGCTCCATTTCCGAGAAATAAAGTAATGGCCTCAGCAAAACAAATGATATAAATTATTTTTAAAAGGCTACATTTGAAATAAAACCAATTTTGAATCAATATATATATCATGTGACTGATTCATCTTAAAGCGTACAACAACTGCAATGACTATCTATATATTTCTTTCATTTTTAGGAAGTGATTCAGTGCGGCTAGCTTTAGGAAAATGTAGTTTACGTTAGTGACAAATAAAGAACATGCATTGATTTATCGGATTTGTTGAAACTGGGATGTTTGAATGAAACGTGTTCTTGCTTATTATAGAAACTGTTTTTTATAACAATCGTAGGAATGAGATCATCATGTGCAAAATGAACGGTATGGCTTCATCGTGTTCATTTTAGACATTCAACCAAATTCCCTTTCTTACGGGCTATACTATATACACTTCAAAAATAAGCATGCTGTCGTAAAATCCTGAAACTGTGCAAACATGATGAAGCCTTTACTACTGCTCCGAAAATATGGGGAAACACGTACTCAACAAATCTACAAAAAATAATAACATCCCAAAAAAAAGTATTACGAATAGTCTGTGGTGTAAATATGAACACACAACTCCCATATTTAAAAAAACTCAATCTATTAAAATGTGTTGACATAGTACAGCTTAAAACAGTACTGATTATGCACAACATTTTCCATAACAAAATGCCTAATAACATTCAAAAGCAGTTCCAAACCACAGCGTGAACATATGAATGTAAAAAAGGTCACTTGAAAATAAGTGTTCACAATGTTTATATGCAATTATGCATATATTATTATTATTATTATTATTCATTTGCCAAGTACATGTGTACATATGTATATATTTATATATAGTATTTTCATTTCCAAAAAAAGATAGTTGAAACTGCTATGTGCAGAAAATGACCCTATATCTAGTTTTTTCATATATATGCATTTATTGTTTTCCTGCCCTAACTTTTATTTAATTTGTTCTCCTGTTTTCTTTATTTCTTTGTACTCCTTCATTTCTATACATTTTTGACGCAATAATGCCGCTGTATTAGGATGATGCACGGGAGGGCTACTTTCCACAAGCTATGCTTCAGCCCTCCTGCTTCTACTAATTTTGTTCATCTTTGTGTATAGGAATTATACTTTTTTTGTTTTTTGGATGAATAAAAAAAAAAGCTTGGGGGCCCCCTAGTGGCCGCGGGGGCCCTATGCCCCCGCATAGTCCGCCTATAGGAAGAAACGGCCCTGCACAGTGGGCCAAAATTAAAAAATGGGTACTGTCGAGGGCCGGACTGGTTCAATGTTTATTGCAAAACTTATTGAAATGAACTTATTGCACATATTAAACCTGGAACTAACAAAGCTTCAATTATTGCCTATAAAAACAACATTAAACATTAAATAATCAGTTGCATTCATTTCTTATGGCTCTATCTGCAGCTTTTCCGGAGTCATTTCTTATGATTACATTTTTCCACAGGCCAACAACAGCTTCAAAAAAACTATTTCCCTCAAAGAACAAACCAAACATGCCCTGTTGTCGTGAGAGAAAAAGTGCAGAAGGAAACATCCATTGAAACTCAGTGTGCTGCTCTGTGATGCTAGTTCAAGCCAGATACTTGGCATCTCATCTTGGGTGCAAGGTCATCAATGTTTGGGCTCAGGCTCTGAGCTGAGGAAACCCTCAGGATTGAGTGAAGGTGTGCGTGTAATATACCGGCGGGCCAGATCTAACAGTAATTAGAAATTATCCTGCGGGCCGAAATTAAATCCACAAAAGGCCTGATTTGGCCCCGGGCCTTGAGTTTGACACATGTGTGTTAGAGGATCTTAAAGGCCGTGAAAGTTCATCAATCCATGATGTTAATAAAAGTACATGTTATTAATCCACACTGGGGTTTCCTTCTGAAGTT